AGCGAGGAGGGGGAAGAGAGTCGAGAGGGGAGCTGAAGGCTCGGTCAAAGAGAAAGGTTTTGAGACCGGCCTTGAAGGAGGAAAGGGAGGAAGCAAGGCGAAGGCACTGGGGGATGGAGTTCCAGAGCCTCGGGGCTGAGAGGCTGAAGGCCCGACCACCGATAGTAGGGCGGTTGGGGCGGGGGACGTGGAGCAGACCGGAGCCAGAGGAACGGAGGGTACGGGCAGGTAGGTAGGGGGATAGTAGGTTGGAGAGGTAGGAGGGAGCAAGGCCGTGAATGGCCTTGTAGGTGAGGATGAGGATCTTGAAATCAATCCTCTGGGGGATGGGGAGCCAGTGGAGGCGAGCGAGGGTGGGAGTGATGTGGTCCCGAAGCCTGGTGCGGGACAGTACACGAGCTGCAGAGTTCTGAATGACCTGCAGCTTGTGGAGGGAGGTGGCGGGAAGGCCGGCGAGGAGAGAGTTCCCATAGTCCAGCCTTGAGGTGACAAAGGCGTGAACCAGGGTTTCAGCAGCGTGAGGGGTGAGGTAGTGCCGTAATCTGGCGATATTCCGGAGGTGATGGAAGGCGGTGCCAGTTGTGGTGCGGATGTGAGGGAGAAAGGACAGCTCAGGGTCGAACAAAACGCCGAGGTTCCTGACTGGCTTTGAGAGGTGGAGAGTGCAGCCTTGGATGCTGATGGTGTCAGCGCCTGAGGTGCGGAGGCGCTGACGTGAGCCAATCAGGAGGGCCTCGGTTTTTTGCACGTTGAGCTGAAGAAAGTTGTCTCTCGTCCAGGACTCGATGTCGGACAGGCAGGCTGTCAGGACATCGGTGGTCGTGGAGTTGAGAGTAGAGGAGGAAAGGTAGAGTTGGGTGTCATCCGCATACATGTGGAAGTTAACCCCATGTTTGCGGATGATGTCACCAAGGGGGAGCATATAGAGGGTGAAGAGGAGGGGACCGAGGACAGAGCCCTGAGGGACACCACATGAGACAGTACGGGGGGTGGAGGAGAAGCCATTCGTTGAGACGAAGTGAAGACGGTGAGAAAGGTACGACCTAAACCATTCAAGGACAGTGCCTTGAAAGGCACTGCAACAACAGTAAATTAGCCACGAGTATTGTTTTAAAGGGAAAAGTTTGTTGTAAGATTAACATGGGCAAGGATCGAAAATAAATAGATGGAGACTCAAACACAGTGAAGAATTAACAAAATGCAAAATACTTCAGACGCTGGAAATCTTAAACAAGAACAGAAGTCTTTGAGCACACTCAGCAGGTCAGGTAGCATCTATGGAGAAAGGAAAGTGAGTCAACATGTCGGGTCCACGACCCTTAGGAAGAATTAGGACTGGTTTGCACAGGAAGAGAATCAGAAAAATGAAAGAAACAGATTTGAAAGAAATGGAAGGTGAGAAACAGGCACAGATTGGGAGGGACAAACACAAGAAACATTCTCATGTGTTCAGCGTGAGCATCTTCAGCACATTGTTAGTTAACTGAATATCACTGTTATTACTGAAAGTTATAGACATTAAAGACGAAACCCTAGATGCTAATCTTTGTCAAGTCGTTGAATCTTCATGTTTCTTTTATTAGTTCTAGCTCCAATTCATCTATTTTGATTGCAGACTGATCATATTATACAATCAAATGTCATTGAATTATTTTGTGAACGCTGTGTTTGTAGCTTATTTACAAAGCGTGTCAATGACATGGAACAGCAGGATTTTTGTGCTCACAGAAGTCCACACAGTTTTGAAATATGTTTTGAACTATATATGAAACTTCAATTTATTTTCCCTATTTTGTGTTCAGTTTCTGAATATAGATAGTAAAAGAATTGCACCAGTACATGATGTCATGTTCACTACAGCAGCTGACTGGTCTCTGCTGCAGTATTGTTTTTCCACTATATTATTGCCCTTTTCTAATCTTCCTAAATGGCCCCTAGTAAACAAAATAACCTATTTTAACCTAAACCTAAAGGTGGCTATTTATTCCAAGTAAGATACGGAGTTGAAAGAGCACCATCAACTCTAATAGTTAGATATTGTAGGAAGAGGATTGGGATCCTATTGTTTCACCTTCCTAAACAAAAACTGGAATCTCGACTCTCCAGAATAAAGGGATACCTTTATTAAAGTATATTTCTGATGCTGTTCCTACAAAATATAGTCAATTCATTTTACAATATATTCTGTGAAGTGCTTTGAGAAGTCTCAATGACATGATAAGGCGCTATATCAATTATTATTACCTCAAATGTATATTTTCTGAGCTTGGCATTTGAACTCTGAAATAAATCTTGTATAAAGTTCTAAGCTGTCAATAGAATAAAAGCTGGGAAGGGATGGTTCTATTTACTTCTGTTTAATATAAAAGGATGACTTCCAGTTCATTAGATCTTTGCCAATGTCACTTCCTGGATCCTGATGGCCCAGAAATCAGCCGTGTTAGTGTTTGAGTGGGTGTCTACGCACAAGTACAGTGATATGGCTTCCAACTTATTTCTACATCCAAACTATAATAAGATGGTATTGTAATTTTTCAATTTACATTTATTCTGTAGATTTGTTGAATTCTCTTAATTTGTTTTCTCTGTTTGAAACGTCTCTAAATTACAAAGGAATTTAGACAGATTAAGTGACTGGACACAACTGTGGCAGATGGAGTTCAATGTGGTGAAGTGTGAGGTCATCCATTATGGATCCCAAAAAGCCATGATCTAATAGAATAGCAGAACAGGCTCGACGGCTGAATGGCCTATTCCTGTTCCTGTGAAATAATTACATGATTAAGAATTGAGAGGTTATACCTAACAGGAAAGGCTGAACATGGACTCTTTTCTCTTGAAAAGAGAAGGTGTAAGGTGTGACCTGATAGAGGTCTTAAAAATGATGAAAGGTTTTGATAGAGTAGACTAGGGAAGAACATTTCCACTTGTAGGGGAGTACGAAACCAGGGGCCATCAGTATAACATAGTCACAAATAGATCAAATAGGGAAGTTAGAAGAAATTTCTTCACACAGAGTAGTGGGAATGTGGAACATGCTACCACAAGGAGAATAATCCTAGCTTCTCTAGCCTCTCCTGATAACTGAAGTCCCTCATTCCTGATACCATCTTGGTAAATTTCCTTTGCACCCTCTCCAATGCCTTGACATCCTTCCTAAAGTGTGGTGCACAGAACTGAACACAGCACTCTAGCTGAGGCCTAACCAGTGTTTTATAAGGGTAATTCCTTTTCATAGGAATTCATATTTAAAAAGTTCTTATTTAATTGTTCTGCCTCAAATATACAGATTTATATTGTTGAAGCTAAGCTTGACTCTTAAGACTCCATGACTTGGGGCTATCAAAGGGAGCTGGTAGTATTGGATATTTCTTCATGGAATAAATATATATTTCAGTGGTTTGAAAAGCCAAGAGTTCCATTTAGCTCTCCAGAAGGGAATATTTCTTTTGGGAATTATTTCTTCTTGCTATAAAGCAACTAGCTCTCACTCGTCCAAGTTACATGATATTATTTGTATTGCACTGCATGTAGTGGGACTTTACACACAGTGCTTTCTAAAGGGAATCTAACACAAATGAAGGCTTCTTGCAATAACCAAAAGACCTATAGGAAGAAGAATTCCTTTTTGATTGTGCTTGCAGTCACCTCACCCCTCCCTCTCCGCCTGGCTAAGTGTCAATACACCGTGAAGTGCTCTGGGATGCTACCAGGGTAGGGTGAAGTGAAGGGTGCTATATCAATGCAAGTTGTTGTTCTAAACTTCCTGTCTTATCGATTGATGATGTGCACTTTTAATTACCAAAAATTGTCCCCCTTTATAACCTCACGAGAGAATCCCATTAGAAAGCACTGTGGTTTAAAGCTCCAATATATTGAAATTAGTAGTAATAGTAAGAAAGTCAGTACAATAATGAACTGAATACCCAAAAAACAATTATATGAGGTTTTTACCCTGTCCACTGCAGACTTGTTCAGTGAGTTCTAATTTTGTTCTTATTCGCCTCATTTACTTCCCTGTGCTTCATAGTATTTTACTTTGGTGCTATATAACCGCAGGTATAACAAAATAATATTAGTCGTTACGGTTTAATTAATTTTAATTTTATATGCGTGTTTCTTGTTGTTGTTGTTGCGTGATACTGCTGACGGAGATTAGCTGCTGACTTGCCTGCATAACAAGACTTGCTACATTTCAAAATAACCCTTTTTGTGAAACGTGTTGAGACAGTTTGACATGAAAAAGTACAGTGTTAAATGCGAGGAATAGGGATGCAAGTCCAAATTCCTGACTGGCCAGTGCCTTGGGACATCCTCCTGATGTGAAAGGCACTTTCCAAATATTATTTGTTGTTGTCATTGTTATTTAAATTTAAGATGATAAAAAGAATTAAAGAGGAGGTTGAAAAAAAAATCTGTACACCCAAAATGGTTGAAATGTGAATTAATTTCCCCAAACCTTGTTTGAGGCAAGCATCATGAATTATTTAAAAGAGGAATTAGACAGGTGCTTGAAAAGGAATATTAAAAGATATGTGGAATGTTCAAGAGTGGGATTAGATGAGATGGATTGGGTGATAAAAAGCACCATTGTGGATTTAATCGACGAAAAGGCCTACTTCTGTACTGTAACATGTTAGGATTATTTAGCATTTCATAGTTTCAGCCAGAACAAGCCAAATAATATTTAATCAAATAAATAAATCTGAGTAAAGAGCAACAACATAGATTTGCAATTCAGCTGTATAATTTCAAATTGTTATTTTAGAATATAAATCTGAAACTCAAGAATGCTGAACTGTACAAATATTGATTTGGAAATAATTTAAAAAATGTATTCCTGGCTTTAAGTTATGAAGCAAATGTATTTACATTTAACACGTTAACTGTCCCAATGGAGATATTGCAAACAAGCAAAATCTTTCTTTCCATTCTTCTGTAATATCAGATATTTCCACTTTCACTGTTCATTATCTTTGGTCTCTAAATCTCCCTTCCAGGTAATTGCTCAGCTCCGGATTCTCAGCAGGTCAATAACAGCTGGCTGCAAGTTTGACAGAGAAATTTGGTCTAATGAACTCTCTCCTATCCTCAATCTCTGGAAGAAACTTAATCAGGTAAAGTGACCATATGCAAATACATTTTTTACTGCCAGTATTCCTTCCAAAGCAAAAGTAAATGTTGAGCTCAAATAAAATGTTGCATATACATTAAACACAACCTAGCACAACAGAGGGGGGTCTCTTATGTTATATCTGCAAATCATGTGTAAATGCAGTGGGATTATTGTAATGTGTAAACATGCATTTCATAAAGTTAATTACAGGTTTGCTTAATTCTATAATGAATAAAGAAAATGTCAAATGATATAATACTGTATGTAAACCAAACCTTTTCATTAGCTGTTAACTATATAGTTAGGGTACCTGTAATTCTTACTCTGCACATGTCCTTATACTTAATACAGCTGTGTTTTCATAAGGTTTGTTATGTAAAGAAATATTCTTCAGTCTTACTGAATATAATACATTTTTCCTCACTTTTTGAAAGGAGCCATATTTCACTGTCAGGAGGTCAACAGTAACTTTTGATAGTTAACAATGAACTAACAAAGAGAAAAGATTCAGCTTTGTGGGGAAAAGGAACATTTTCCCATTTCTGTCAACTAGTGTCTATATCGAGCATACCCAGGTCACGTATAGCATGAGTCAAGCTGCAAAGATTTCATTTTTGTATACTGCATCCATCTCCGCAAGTCCATGCACTACAAATCATACATATCGATCATCTAACCTATTATCGAAAGACATAGCTTTGCATCCTCTTCCTGATGATTCACCATTTGCTTGTGTATATTGCGCAATTGCAACCATTAATGCTGCATATATACTGCATGTTAGTGAATTATAGCAATTTTGGTAGCTATGTGTCATGAAATGTGCAGTGCAAATTGCAAATCGAGCGCAGTGGAACACCATTATGATGCATCTGCAGATATCCCAACGACGTTCAGGCCTTCAGCCTCTCCGCCTCCACCCTATGAAACTCCATCCCACATTCCCTTCACCTCCCTGCCCTCCACCCTCCCTTATCCCAACACCGCCCCCCCCGCCCCCCCACTCAGGTCAAAATCCCTACCTGTTGAATGCCTTGGGATGTCCTCCTGATGTGAAAAGTGCTATACAAATGTCATTTTGTATTGTATTGTATTTGGGAACATTAAAATCCCAACCCACTTTAAAATAGGGCCATGATAGCTTGTCAGTGTTTCTATATTCACTGTGCATGAGTGCAGCTGGCTTACCCTTTTTTTTAAAAAAAGCTATCTTCCAAATTATCAGGTCACTTCACATTACTATTATTATTATTATTAACAGCTGGTAAGAAGTGACATCAGTGACAACCTGATGACATGGAAGTCGACCTTTTTTTTAGCATGGGAGATAACTGGCTTGTGCGTGCAGAGTGAATGAGTTTGACACCCCATTCACTCTATAATCAAACCCACCTTACAAGGAAGCACATTATAATGGGGGTTTATTGTATCACCTGACAAAGGTGGTTCCAGGAATAATGTGATTCTCACCCACCCAATATTGATGTATTGCGTGTAATTAGTGATGGGCTCACTTCTCCTAAAGTCCAATTTGGATGGTCCCGGAACATTGAATAGAGCATTTTAAAGATATTAAACCATTTAAAAGAATTTGTCTGAAAAAAAACTCCAAAAAAATCCACAGACACATAAAAATATCTTCCCTCTTATAAGCACTCTAATCCTCCTCTTCTGTATTGCTCTCCCTCTTCTTCACCCAGAGAGGGAAAGACTCATGTAGAAACACTGATGAGAGAGACAGATAGACAGTGAGACACACAAGCAGAACAAATCGATTCGTTTTCCAATAGATCTCTCACAGTATTTCATTGTTTTTCATACAACTGATAAATTGTAGATGTGCTAAGTTCGTAAGGTAAAAATAGATTAATGGAGTATGTTAGCTGCTTTTGAATCCTCTGAAATCTTTCATGAATTTCTGAACATATACATGTTTACACTTGTAGCATTATGTTGAAAACAATCACTTACGTGACAAATTTGCCCACATTTGGCTCATTATTGCTTAAATATATTACAAAAGCAACACCTTCTACATTTTTTCCAGGGAAGATATAGAAGTATTACCATTGTTGAATCCACTATTTATAATAACTTAAAAAATTGTTCCCAAAAGTGAACTCCCAAGTTACCTCTTATATAAGTCTCTTCTGTACAGCTGCATTTTATACAATATAAATTCTCATTATGCGATGTAGAAGGCAGAAAAAAAAAACAGAATAATATTTAAGTAATGTTCTGCCAAAAGTAAAACACTGATGCTGAATCCACAACCTTTGCGTGCTGTTCATTCTTAAGGAATTTCAAATAAAATGCCCATTAATTTTCATATACTTGAATGCTCTCATTGGGCTGCTTAAACTCAGGTTCTTAAATTTTGTTCTCTAAGTACTCTTCCGTGGCAGATTTTTTTGGGGAATCTTGTCTGATGATACATTATCTTTGAGAAACAATTTAAAAATCATTGTTTCTATTTTTACACACATTGAAAACAATTACCTCTTCTGTTGACAAAAGTAAGTAACCCCCAGAAAGACATTTTTTCCCAATTGACCAACTAAAGAAATGTTGCTTTTTATTGCTTTTTTCTACCAGGGTATCACTTCATATCATAGAATCATACAGCACAGAAGAAGGCCATTCGGCCCATTGTGTCTGTGCCGGATCTTTTAAAAGAGCTATCCAAATCAAACCCTTTCCCCTGCGCTCTCCCCACAGTCCTGCAAACTTGTTCCCCAAATAATTATCTACTTCTCTCTTAAAAGATTTTATTGAATCAGCTTCCACCACCCTTTCAGGCAATGCATTCCAGATCCGACCAACTCACTGTGTGAAAACATTTCTTCTCACCTCCCCTCTGTTTCTTTTTACAACTATTTTAAATCAGTGTCCTCGGGTTACTGACCCAGTCGCCAGTGGAAATAGTTTCTCCTTGTTCACCCTATCAAATCCTCTCATAATTTTGAAAACTTCTGTTAAGTCTCCTCGTAACCTTCTCTGCTCCAAGGAGAATAATGCTAGGTTCTTTAGCCTCTCCTTTCTTCATAACTCGCCTCTCCTCATAACTACTACCATCCTGGTAAAATCCTGGACTTAGACAAGTCTAGTAGGCAAGATGGTGTGACCACCATCTCAGTGGTTAGAGCACTCGCTTTGCAAGCGAGAGATCTGAGTTCAATTCCAGTCAGGGCGAAACCTTGGGCAAGTTTCCTTACTCCACACAGAGCCTAATAATAATCCCTCCAAAACCAAAAACAATAATAAATTGGTCATTTTCAATCTACGGCTGTTTGTGGGACATTGCTGTGCGCAATTGGCTGCCGCGTTCACAGTCAATTCACTTTACAGTGTGTTCTGTGAAGCGCTTTGGGACGTCCTCCTGACGTGAAAAGCGCTATATCAAATGCAAGGACTATTATTATTATTATTATTATGGTAATCCTATAACCACTCCATGCCAGAGATTAAAACCTTGGCATGTTGTATAATATAAAGTTCCTGTCAATGTGCTGAGATATGAAGCTTCAGAGCTTAAATTTAGATATTCACTGCTCTCAATATTGCACTTGCATAAACATTATTCTGCACCTTCTGATAGCTGCCAAATGGTTGAAATTGTACTTTTGGAAACAAACTACAGTATTACCAGTCAGTAGCTGGTAACACTATAGTTGCTCTATTGCTCCTGCTGTTCTACTGACTCTGCTCTACTACTTCTTGTTCACGATTCATTTGAAGCTTTGCCAGAGAAAATGTATTTTTGCTAAGTACTTAATCAAATCAAAACTCAAATCATTTGCATTGAATCATCATTATTTTGAGATAATACTTCTTCTAGGAAACACATTTCTTATTCTTCCTGGATATAATCGTTTTTTGTGAGTAAATGTACATATAATGTCAGGTTAGATCTATGCTGGATGGGATTATCAAACTATGTCTTGAAACAAGACATGATTTGATGCTTAAGGTAAGGGAATGTCCAAAACGAATTTGAGCTACAGGTCTTATATCCAAGGGATTTATTTATGGATTTCCTTTCACCTCCTGTCCTTGAATTTTGTTCAGAAATGATTTGAAATTCTCTCAGCATCAGAAGGGCAAGTATTCCAGTGACCTAATGTATACACTTTCTGCTGTAGATTTCTCAGTGATAATCCAAGTGCAAAAAGTCATTTAAGCAGAGAAGAAAACTACAAAGATATTGATATTGCTTTCTTTTCTACCACATATCCATTCTTAACCAGGACCGCTTATTTCCACCTCCGCCACATTGCTCTCCTCTGTCCGTACCCCACAACCAACGCAGCTGAAACCCTCATCCACGCCTTTGTCACTTCCTGGCTGGACTATTCCAATGCCTTCACAGGCATGCCCGTATATCATAGGTAGAAAATCATAGGTTTTCTTGAGATGAAGCTGGTTAAGTTGTCCTATAAACCTCAACATTGACAAACCAAGATGCTGGAATGTTTTAGGCATGAGCAGAAAAGACAAGACATAAGGGATTCCACCAAACTTGTATCACACTGTCATATTCACTCCTGAAGCAAAAATGTTCAATTAACCTTTCCTCCATTTGGGTTAATTCCCAGAGTGATTTTGAGAATCAGAATGAAAAGTAAACCCCATGGTATTAACTGGTGAATGAAATTGTAGTCTTATTCTTCTTGGACTGATTCCTACCAAACAGAGTAACTTCCAATTAAAAAGACATTCTAGTATCTGCTTCTATGTTGACCCCTGACAGACTTTCCAAAGACTATGCCCTCTAGTAACTGATGCACAGCAAGTGAGCTGCATTACAAATTTAGTTGAGATCATATATCACTGTATATTTCATGTTAGCATTAATCTGCTCCATCTTGCACACATATACTTCATACCCATATCTCCTATTGCATTGCATAAACTTGGCAGTAAACAAGCTCTTGTAATTCCCATTAAAGGTTCTACCGTAGATGTAGACTGCAAAATGTTATCATGGAAAACTGCTATTCTTGGCTTGTCTTGCTTCACTCAGCCAGTGAACTACAAGCCCTTGTGAATATCCTCCTTAGTTTTCCAAAAGTATGGATAATAGTAATAATAATAATCCTTGCAGTTGTTATAACGCTTTTCATGTCTTCTAGACGTCTCAAAGCGCTTCACAGAATAGACTGTAAAGTGAATTGACTGTATATTTGTGGGCGAAATGCGGCAGCCAATTACCACAGCAGTGTCCCACAGACAGTCGTGGATTGAAATGACCAATTTATTATTGTTTTTTTTTGAGGGATTATTATCAGGCTTGTGGAGTAAGGAAATTGCCCAAGGTTCACCCTGCCGGGAATCGAACCCACGTCTCTTGCTTGCAAGGCGAGTGCTTTAACCACTGAGCTACAGGACTCCCCACAGGATCAGTGCTTTTTATGAAATTATTGACAAAGGTAGCTTCACAAGTTCAATCAGACTAAGTTGCAGTCTCTGTCCTGTCCGAGGTAGTGTTCTGTGAATCCTTCTTCAAGTGCAAACACAGTTGAAAGCAGAGTTGCACTTCAGAGGCGCGTGAGGCAGAAGGGAAGAGGATTTTGCACAGGGTTGATAGGTGGATGAAATTAGCCTGCCTGTCAGAGGAAGTGCCTCAAGTATTCCATTCCCACAAATGCCATCTTAGCCACTGGAGCTGGCCTGACATGTACCTTCATTCAAAGAATAATGACTAAAGTAACTTACCTGTTTGAGAGATGGACAAGAATGCAACATTGTTAAATAACTCAGCTGAATTTCATAGAAACATCTAGAAGTACAAATGTGGCATTGTAGTAATTGAACTTCAGAACATGAAGAAGTTGGAAAAAATGTTTGTATGTCTGGTATGTATTTCAATACATGTGGTTTAAAATGTGCTCATCAGGAGTAAATTAGAGTAAATGACGCTTCCCACTATATCAGGTACTTCGGAGCACAAAATGTATCTCTTGCAGGGAGCCCATTTACCCACACAAGTACTCTGCTCTGAGGCGATCTCAGGTCAGAGCAAGGTTCTCGTGAATTTATAAATCTTGCATTTGATATGATGCCTTATCACATCATTGAATTATCTCAAAGCGCTTCACAGGATTTAATGTGTATTGTAGGCAAACACAGTCGCCAGTGTGTACACAGAAATGACCTACAGTCATGAAGTGAATGACTAATTTTTATGTGGGAGATTATCCATCATCCTTATATCATTCTAGTTAAGATTTAAAATCCAGATTCACAATGATAAGATGAACAGGCAAAAAGCACAGTATTGTATTACACTTGCTGGGGCATCATTGACAAGAAAACATAGGCTACGAATTATTAGAAAAAAATAGGGAAGGAATTTGTTCACTCAAATAGTGAGTTTGGGACTCATTATCGCAAGTAGCTATTTGAGACTGAATCAATGGAATCCTTCAGAAGGGAAATAGGTAAGCAAAGTGTAGTAAACCATTAGAGGATATGGGGAAAAGGCTAGAAAATGCGATTAATAAAATTAGAGGATGATTTAGTAATGCAATTAGCAGGAGCGCCAACTGAATGGTCCTAATGTCCTCCTCCTTTATTGATAACCCTCGCCGTGGCCTCTGCTGTTGTTTCCATAATGAGGAACTGAGTGCAGTGTATTGAATGTGAATGTGTGTGTTCTACCAGTGCTTGGCCAAGCAACTGAAGGGCTAGTCACATGATGGTGGACTGCTGTATCTCAGATGGGGAAGGAAATCCATGGGGTCGTGGTAGGGAGGGGGTTGGAGGGGGAGCGGGGGAAAGAAGTACGATCCACAAGGAGGCCATGGCCAGGCTTGCCATGTGGAGCTCGTCTTCATTTGATCAAATTGTAGCAATATTCGTAGGAAGAATGGAGAGTCCAAAGCCCAAACCATCTCACCCTCCCAACTGAAGGAAGATGAAATGTGAATAATAATAATAATCCTTCCATTTGATATAGCGCCTTATCACGTCTTTCAGACGTCTCAAAGCGCTTCACAGAATATACTGCAAGTGAATTGACTGCGCATTTTGTGGGTGAAACATGGCAGCCAATTGCACACAGGAGTGTCCCACAAACAGTCGTGGATTGAGTGACCAAATTATTATTATTATTATTTTGAAGGGATTATTAACCCCAGATAGGCAGTAAGGCTGAATTTGTGGGTAAAGTGAAAATAGTTTCGAAAATCATCTCACTTTGGGAGCATTATTAGGGCTGACAAAGCCTGGAGTAATTAAAGGATGTTTCATTTTTAGAATTATTTTCCTCGCATGATTTAAGTTATGACTGTTCAGTTTTTAGAAAGATAGTGATAAAGAAGTATTTTCTATGCTGTGGTGCTTTTAATGCTTCTTATTTAAACAGCATAATAATTTGACAAGACATCATTCTTACATCAAATGCCAATGCCATATCATACCAACATCCTTTTGTTCCACAGAGCACAAATGAAGATAGGGTTTGTAAGATTTAATGATAGGAAATGCAGTACAATTTTAACAAGCCACACTTTGTAAGAGAGTGCAGAAAGCAATTGGCATTTCAGGAACCCTGCAAAATTTTGATATAGATCCAGTGCAAAGTACAAGATCGTCAAATTAACTAGCAAGGTTATAAAATGAAGAGCATATCTCAGCAGTGGCAGGTTTAGAGCTCTCTGAAGGGAATTGAAGAATTGAGCTACAAAATGATTAAAGATATCAAGGTACTTAAGTTCCCTAAGCCATGTGATATTGAAAAGCTATTTCCACATATTTGGGAATACTGTTTGAAAGACACCTGCTTATTATACTGATTCTGACTCATAATTTATTGTATTTGAAATGGGTGTTGAGATGGTGTGTCTCTACCTATATGATTACGTGTGGGGAGGGAGACATTAACCCTGCCTCCTGACCCTCCTAGATTAGTCTACTATCTTTCATAAATAGTGTGGGAGTCATAATACATCTTTCTGTTCTAGGGTTTGTTGTCTTTCAACACAACAATTTACACTTACATAGCACTTTTCACATCAGGAGAGTGTCTCAAAGTATTTCACGGAAATTGAGTGGGACCCTGAGTTAGAAGGGATAGAGGTGAAGTGACCCAAAGAGTGGTCAAAGTAATGGTTCCTTAAGCAGAGAGGGAGAATATGAGGGATTCAGAAGAGAGTCCATAGAGTAACCAAAGGTTGTGGAGCGAGCTGGGGGTATGGAGCGGGCTGGGGGCATGGAGCGGGCTAGGGGTATGGAGCGGGCTAGGAGTATGGAGCGGGCTGGGGGCATGGAGCGGGCTGGGGGCATGGAGCGGGCTGGGGGCATGGAGCGGGCTGGGGGCATGGAGCGGGCTGGGGGCATGGAGCGGGATGGGGGTATGGAGCGGGCTAGGAGCATGGAGCGGGCTGGGGGCATGGAGGGGTTGGGGGCATGGAGCGGGCTGGGAGCATGCAGCGGGCTGGGGGCATGGAGCAGGCTGGGGGCATGGAGCAGGCTAGGGGTATGGAGCGGGCTGGGGGTATGGAGAGGGCTGGGGGCATGGAGCGGGCTGGGGGCATGGAGCGGGCTGGGGGCATGGAGCGGGCTGGGGGCATGGAGCGGGCTGGGGGCATGGAGCGGGCTGGGGGCATGGAGCGGGCTGGGGGCATGGAGCGGGCTGGGGGCATGGAGCGGGCTGGGGGCATGGAGCGGGCTGGGGGCATGGAGCGGGCTGGCGGTATGGAGCGGGCTGGGGGCATGGAGCGGGCTGGCGGTATGGAGCGGGCTGGGGGCATGGAGCGGGCTGGCGGTATGGAGCAAGCTTTCGGTCCAACTGATATTGTTTCTTGCAAACACTAACAGCAGCAGCGACCTGACAAGCTGGAAGTTGGCCATCAGTTCACATCTGGCTTATAACATGGTCAGTGAGCCATTAGACCTGAAGTTTCCCTATAGCTGACACTAAAGTTAGTCTTGCAAGCATAACATGTGTGAAAAACTGACATGTCATATTGATTAATGGGGAGGATTAAGATTACATTCATGAGGCAGAGCAGAAGGAATTTTAGAATGCATTGAACCAATGCTATTTCTGATCTGAGTGTGTTTGATACTGGGTGAAAAATTGTTTTTTTTGAAAAAACAAAATTTAATTTCCCTCAACCGAATTGTGTACTAAAATCCACCAAACTCTTTTTACAGGTATACAATCAAATATCTTGACCTGACTTTGTTCTGGATTTCCCCATTTTCATTGTTTCCTCTGTTTATCCTGATCTGAATTCTTTCCCTAGGGATCTCAGCTGATTCACCAGAAGGTTTGTCCACCCAATGAAAAGCAAGGTTCCCCAATCCAGTCATTCATAGCCTTGGAACAATACAACGCTATTCGTCTGGTGCAGAGTGTCCATCACTCTTTGGCAGGACTGAGCAAAGTTATCAGAGGAACATCTCTACTGACATCATCTGTACAGAAGCTAGCTGCTGCACTGCTCAACCAAGAGGTACTGACATTTGTTTAAGTTTTGTATTCATTGCCCTCTGAGTAACCATAAACATGTTTTATATTCCCAAGAATGCCACAGTGCATTTTTAAGACTTTTGTACAAATATTTCATGAGTAGGGCACATAACATTATTTATGAAAATGAAAATATCGCAATGAAATTCAAGTAGATAAGTTTGAAGCAAATGATTATGACCAATTTTATTCAGGGAGTGTTGGCCAGGAGAAATCCTTCACTTTTTGAATCGTGCTTTGGGATCCTTAACATCTACACGAACAGGCTGAGGGGATCTTGGTTTAACCTGTCATCCAATGATCTGCTGTTTATTGCTTTTCTATATTAGGAGTAGGAGGAAACCATTTTGTGGCTCTTTTGGCTATTGTGTGGTTCAGTTAAACAAGCTGATATTCATCTGCACAGCAGGCTCATCATTTTGAACAATTTCAGAGCATTCACATTCTGTTCCACAATTAATTAACTGCACATTTATTAGCATGAGAAAACTACCCAAATGTTTAATAACATGTGCAAAATGTTTTTCTCGGGTAATGTTTAAATGAACAATAAGGGATGGCATGAAACTAATCCACAAAAATATTAATTGTGAAGTATTGAATGTTTTATTAAATTGTTTTCGACTGCCAAAGTCCTCAGCCTCTAACAAGTAAATACTCTGGAGCTAAAATCACAGTCAAACATAATTTTTATGTTGAGGAGGAAAATCATATTTGTTTAAAGATGTGCCCAACACTGTTGCAAAGTGTTAATTGGGAATCCCTGGTGAAATCAAATCAAACTGGTTATCAGATTGTCTCTATTAAACACAACCCAAACGTCCTGATTCAAATTTATTTGGAATTCATTGCTGGCCAAGAGCATTTCTCCAATTAAAATGGAATGTTCCCATCAACCATATTCCCATTAACTAGCATTAACAGTAATGATCTACTGAGTTGTGGCAAAGCTCAGTGAAACAAGAAGTGCAGTGTTTTTCTCCATTTCAGAAAGTCTCATATTTTAATTCCAGCTCTGCCCTTCTCTTGAATGTGCCTGACCCAGTTGGCTGTATTTGTGGCCTTGAGTCCTGTAGAAACAAACCATTCTATCATGGACGAGAAAGTAATTACATTGCTTTGATTACCTGACTGGAAGTGGACCCCCTCCGAGTTCATCATGATAAATAGGGACAAAAGTAGGCCGTTCGCCCTGTAAAGACTTATGTGAGTTTTACTGGAGTACTTACAAAACTCAGATTTAAGACTTTGCCAAATTTCTGCACAATCTGAAATATTAAGATCAGTGTTGAGGATGATACAGGTTGAATTTTGGTCCAAATTGTTTGATTGAGTCTTTCTTGTGATTTCCAGTAACTATGCACAGTAATTCTTCTATATGGTAGAGCGCCTTATCACATATCCTGTAACTCAGTGGTTAGAGCACTCGCTTTGCAAGCAAGAGACCTGAGTTCAATTCCAGGCAGGGCGAAACCTTGGGCAAGTTTCCTTACTCCACACAGAGCCTAATAATAATCCCTCCAAAACCAAAAACAATAATAAATTGGTCATTTTCAATCTACGACTGTTTGTGGGACATTGCTGTGCGCAATTGGCTGCCGCGTTCGCCCACAAATATACAGTCAATTCACTTTACAGTGTGTTCTGTGAAGCGCTTTGGGACGTCCTCCCGACGTGAAAAGCGCTATATCAAATGCAAGGATTATTATTATTATTATTATTATAAAGCCTATGGCACGATTGATATTCCTCCCTGACCAAGACTCATTTTCTTCACTTTACCACATTGCCCGTCTCCACTCCTATTTTACACCAAATGCTACCGAAACCCTCACTCATACCTTTGTTACCTCCCACCTACAGTTTTCAAACACTCCTTGTGGGTCACCCTATTTCTATCATTCCTACACTTCAACTAATCCAAAACTCTGCCCCCAGCAACCTCACTTAGACCAAACTGTGCACGCCACTTGCTTCATATTATTAAAGAACATTATGCAGAAAAAAATATTTAATTCAGCTGCAGAAGTTATATTGAATGTGATAGGATAGAATTGCTTTTTAAGCATATTGAGAACACAACTACATTTTTAATAGTAGTAGCTCAGCCTGCTTGACAGCCTTGAGAATGGAGTCTGATTTTGCTGGTTTCGGACCTTAGGTACCAGCCCAGTGAATTCAATCTTTCTGCAGTCCCCTGTGATCCTATTAACTGTAGAAAACCTTATATATTATCTTAGTTCTTTGAAAAAGGACACTGCAGCAAAATAGTGTGAGAATGCTAGCAAACCGAAACATTGGCATACAGTGAGAGGAATAGAGAATGTTTAAGTTTCTTCTCACATCTTCCAAACATTGGTCCCTCACTGTCTGCTGATGAATGATTCATATTAACCTGCTAGCTGGAAGGCGAACAAGTCTCGGCAGCCAGCAGTAATCAGCTTGAGGTGGCACTGAACACTGAAAGAAATAAAAGGAAATGTATCAGAAGGGTTTCATACAAGTTTGAGGTTAACACAGTTGGTCCCAGTTGGTCCAAAAGAATAAAGCATTACACCTGTTTAAGCACTTGGTTTGTATGTTATGTTGTTTATTTATATCCAGATTCATTGTTTATGTACTCCTGAGGCTGGCAAAGAGTGGAGGAAAAAGCTGTTCTTGGTTTAATCTGCCCTATGTTAGGCCAGATTACTATTTTTACTTAGTTTACAAGTCATTTGTTATTGAAAACCAGCAAGATAAAAAGCCACAAAATCTCAAGGGAGAATCCAGTTCTGTAATAAATATTACAGTTTTATGTTCAGCAGTTTGTCTTAAATATTTATTTCCGTCTGTACAGTGTCCATTGAGCTGGCAAAGCAAATGGGAAGGACCTGAAGACCCAATGCAGTACCTCAGAGGACTCATAGCTCGTGCACTCGCCATACAGGTAATATTAATATATTATTAAGTGCCATTTATTTATGTATTAAGTAAATTTTCTATCCCACAAAGTAAACAACAATGTCTTTAATTAAATAAATATTTTGGCGTTTGTATGTTATGTTATTTCTTTATATCCAGATTCATTCTTTATGTACTCCTGAGGTTGGCAAAGGGTGGAGGAAGAAACTATTCTTTGAAGGTAGCAAGCCAGGAGATATCAGATGAATGGCCAAATGAATGGTATTGGTTGTTAGGATATTACAAAGTATTTATCCTGAATGAATGTTATGTGTGGAGTTATGGGGTCTGAGAAATCATTTTAGAATTTCCATTGAGCTGTTAGAAATCCAATCTGGAAATCAATTGTATTCAGAGCAGAGTTCATACGAGTTGGCATGACGTACTTCCAATTACCAGAAGGAGTCCGTACATATGAAGGAATCCCATTAGAAATCTCTGCATATTAGACCTTGATATGTTTAGTACTTCTGGGATTGAAAGTCAAACACTACAGCTTTACAATAACACTACACTCTATGTAATTTATGGAGTAAACATTTCTATACATTGATGTGAATATTTAATTCTGTTTTGCAAAGGTATTTTGCCAGAAATTGCTACCAACTTTGCAATTTGTCCCTCAATTTGTGTTTGTCGCCAAGAATTAATAGTTAGATTGCTGGCAGGTCAGGTGAGATTTAGGTCTTTGTGAGTTGACTAGTTCTGTAAGTTTTCAGTTCGCACAGATGCTGAAATGAATATTAATATTACAGCACAGCCAAAATGTTCTCAAACATCACCATTGTGCTCTAATATTTATGAAATTGTGAAAGTGGCAGCCAATCACCTTTGTAAACAGGAGCTTTAATGTGCCTGCCTTGCTTAAATAAAAATGTTTAATCTATAATAATGCATGCTGCTGTATAAATAAAATAATGAAAGATGAATTATCTGATGTGATAAATAATTGTATTCATGCACAAAACATAATTTACAATGTTGTCACACATCAGTTAGTTAGATCAATCAAAGTATTCTTCCATCTATAAAATCTATATTTATCAACATAAGAAATGTGCATAAGAAGAAGAAGAGTAAATTCCATTTTTACAGCGTCTTTCACGTTGGGAGGACGTTCCAAGGTGCTGGACAGTGAAGGGTTTGCTCTCGAGCTGGTGGTTCGAGTCAAGATGGTGAAGGGCAAGTGGAGGTGGAGATGGGAACTTGACAGAAGGCACAGTCGAAGAGGAAGGTCTTGAGACAGGCCTTGAAGAAGACAAGAGAGGGGGTAATGCGGAGAGGCTCCAAAATGGAGTTCCAGAGGATGTTGATAAGTAGAGGATAGGGGCATAAAGACTAAAGGCCTGGCTGCCGATGATGGAATGGGCAGGGCGGGGGACATGGAGCCGGCCAGTGACCCCAGCGTGTGTGGAGCTAACAGCTTGGTATGAAGGGCTTTAAAGGTGAGGACGAGGATCTTGAACTTGATCCTCCGAGGGATGGGGAGCTAGTGAAGCCGGGCGAGGATGGGGGTGATCATCTCGCAGAGCTTCGTGAGGGAGATGACACAAGCTGCAGAGTTCTGAATATTCTGCAGCTTGTGAAGGGAAGAGCTGGGAATTCTGGCGGCAGGGAGTTTATATAGGGAGCCTGGATATAGTCAAAGCATGGATGAGGGTCATTAAATGTTAATAGCAATTGGAGAAAGAGAGAGAGTCACTGTGTGGGGGAAAAGAAAACAGCTGACATTGAGAGAAATATGATGAGAGAAGGACTGAAACTGTGTATAACAGTGACAGTATGGCTTCTGATGAAAAGTTTGGGTTAATATAGTATAATGGAGTTTATACCTGTTATCTGTGCTGTTTTCGTATCCATAATGATCGGTTCCAATTAGTGTAGATATTGAATTCTCTGCTACAATTTCTGGGCTTTTACCATTTTAAAGTTGGTCAATTGCATTTTCTCCTGTTCATTGTTCATTAAGATGCAGTTTAACTTTACTCTGCGAATTCCAACCTTTTGGTCTGTTTTTTTTTGTTTCATTTGGCGGTATTTGTTTTATTTGGATGACCAAACTCTGTACCCACATCTCACCAGTTCTGGCCAGACTCCACTGGCTCCCTATCACAGAACGGATCGACTTCAAGATCCTGACACTCGTGTTCAAATCCCTTCACTCTCTGGCACTTCCCTACCTCTCCGACCTCCTCACTCCCCAATCCACCACCTGGCACCTTGCAACCTCCACCCCACCATCAGAGGTTGCGCTTTCAGCCACTATGCCTCGAATCTCTGGAACACTCTTCCGCAATCCCTCTGCCTTGCCCCTCTCTCCCATTTTTCAAGTATCACCTGAAAACCTTCCTCTTCGACTGTGCTTACATTCCCCACCTTCCCCACCTGGCTCGGAGTCAGGCTCAGTCACTGTTAAGCGCACTTTGTCTTTACCCTGTGTGGAGGGCGCTATATAAGTCAAGTTGTTATTGAGATACCATACTCGAAGCTCATCTTAGAAGAACCAGACATGTCAGTTTGGAAAGAACATGCAGTGCAGAGCACGTTGCTTTGGGAGTAGAACATTGTTTACTGTATTCATAAATTCATGTTTCTTCAAGGCTAAGCTGGCAGATGAACATGCCAGGTTCACTTATCTCTGCTGTGTTCAGACAGCAGTAGACTACTTCAAATGGCACATCCCACTATCGTAGCGTACTCTTTGATGCGCCCATACCCTTTAAGGAGTTCAGAAGTTCAGCGTACAAGTGATAAAGAAACCAGCGATCCCAGGAAGAGGACAGGTGAATGTGTACTGGGTAGTAATCCAATAAAGCATTTTAAGAAAGTCACCATTTTGAAAACTGCTTTGCCGCACATTACCAGATATAGCATCTCCTCAGCTTCTCTATATCGATATGTTACCTGTTATATTGGATGTTAAGCCTCGACTGTTTGTGGGACACTGCTGTGTGCAATTGGCTGCCAGGTTTCGCCCACAAAATATACAGTCAATTCACTTCACAGTATATTCTGTGAAATGCTTTGAGACGTCTCAAAGGTGTGATAAGGAGATATATCAAATGCAAGGATTATTATTATTATTAAATCAAATGCTAGGACCTGAAGGCCTACCTAAGATTTTCCTTCAATAAATTTGGAATTACTTAGCTCTAAATGGATATATTGTTATTCCTGACGAGTCCATATCGTGTGGCATATTAGATCTGTGGAGTGAGCTTGAATATACCTCAACAGTGCTGGCTGATCAAGATCAAGATACTGCCACTGAAACGTTCTCTTTTTGCCCAGGATGGCACTTTATTTTTGTAAACATGCCCACTTTCAGGAAGCAGTTGGTGGTTGGAAAAATGTTGTTCCCTTCTGAACACCCCTTTGTGGTGTGTGTTTGTGTGTGTATGTATGTATGTATGTATTTATTTATTAACTGCATCAAGCAGCTCAGCAGTATTGAGTTCCAACACTTACTACATACTGAACAGTGCTATTGAGCAGGTAAATAAATGGGACTGAATTAATTGCTTTCATCGAAACAGCAGAGCTACAATGGGCCGAATGGCCTGTGCTATAAATTTCTGTGGATCTATAGCGGGGAATACTGTCCGTGGGATATTTCCACTGAACTGGTGCAACAAAAATCCTTCCATTCCCTACGGCTCTTTAACTATTTGGTTCTTGGATTTTCTCTCCCACAGTTTCAGCAGTTTAAAAAAAAAGGGATGTTAAGGACATTTCAATTATAAATGGAACTGAGAGGTTCTGATTGAAAGTGGTTGCATTTCTAACCATGTATGTATGGCCTTAAATATGGTTTGCAAAAGGCTGTCTCAGGGGATTTCAATGAATTCCCTAATTTCAAATGAGATTTTTCATTAGGTAAAAGTGGAATATTATTCTTACGAATAAAATAAAACTGCTGCTGTATCTTTTTTTAAGAAAATATTCTGAACTTTCTATATCTGCTTTTGTGCTGGACTTGCACAAAATATCTGTACATCATATTCTTTATGATAATGTAATATCAATACCATATGGTCAGTTATTTAGCAAATAATCGACAGCCCATGTACTTTTTAGAATGGAAGAAATGTGTGGTTAATAGAGGGTTGTAGGGACATATCAGCTATTGGCTATTAAATATAATCAAATTCCAACAAATTTACAAATTATTGATGTTTTGAAAAATTCTTGGAATAGTAGCTTCCACGAGCATAGTATATGTTATCAGATATAATTCTGGTATAGCATGCATTATTTATGATTCCTCTAAAATAGACACCAAACAAAATACCGTCAATAATTCCTTCCTTGCTGGAAAATGCTTTCTGTAAGAATCCCCACAGTACAAAATACAATATAAATTGAGGACTTCCTATTGGTTTAGCTTCAGCATTTTTCTAAATCACTTTTTAAACTTTGTAGTTTTATTATCTGACCATTTTACTATACGATGCATATGGGATGAAAAGTCCACGTAATTAATTTTTACTGGTTCCCTGATTAGCCAAGAGGAAAGCAAACCGTTGACTGAAAAAGCATCCAGTGATGATGTAGCATTTGATAAACTTTCTGCCTGTTCTTCAGGTGGAGATTAATGATAACATGACACTGTTTCAGGGAAAGATAGAAAATGAAGCACTTAATAGAGGAAAAAAAGCACAGTTGCTAAATATTTTGTAGCTTCTTAAACCAAAACTCAATGTCATCAAGACAGAGAAGAGAAGAGTCTGAATTTTATGCCATCTTTTGTTCAGTTTTGTGTGCCCTGCTTTACCATGACCCTGAAAATTAAATATCATATCAAAATCATCAATAATAATCTAGTGCATTGAACAACTATCAATGCTAGGAATGAACACATTAACTAAATTCTGTCACATGGCTTCAGCCACAGTGTTGGTATGTTGGTTAGTTTATTTCATCAAGGTAAGTGGAAAGGGCACTACAATTGCCTTCGGTCTCCACAAGGAAATGTGCTGGTTTCCA